GAGAGTCAGATGTGGCCAAATCTTTAAGACCTTACGATCAATTGTCTATAAAATAGAGATTAAAAGATACTATTCATCACAGCAAATTAAAGACTTCATTATGCTTCAACAAATTCTACTGTATGATTACGTGTAGAATTGGATGTGAATCGATAACTGCACAACAAAGATCTTTGTTAATTATTATGAAATAAACTTAAAATAAGTTAATTTATTGCACTAATTTAATTTTGACCTTATCAAGCATAATGAACTGATTTTATTTTTATTTTTATTTTTTTAGTAGAGTTCATTTTGACTAAGTCGAGTAAATTGATTTCCTAAGGCAATTATGAGTGTGTTTGGTAGGGATTTTTTGGGGAAAAATTGATTTTTGAATAGTGATATGATAGGAAATATGTGGTTGAAAAAGAAGAAAAAAGAATTGATGTGATGGAAAATATTATTTTATTGAAGAATGTGTGGATGAAAATGAGAATTGATTTACTTAAAATCTGTACCAAACAGGCCCTCGTTTGACAACCATTATTTTGAGAAAATAGAGTTTTGAATAGTGATTTTTTTGGAGAATATATGGTTAAAAAGTAGGAATTTTTTTTGAATTTACGTGCAAAATATTTTATTGTGTAAACGAGTGGTTGAAAATGAGTATGAGAATTAAAGAACTTTCAAATAATGGTTGTCAAATAGAGGTTAAGTTTCCATTGAGAATAACATTTATAAATTTAGTTAAAATAAAAATTAATTTCATTCATACATTAATAATTGTTACTTATTATTATTCACACATGTCGTAAGACTCTCTACTAAATTTGCCCAACGGAAGTTTGTTATATTAAACATGATACGTTTGACATGACTTTTAAGAAGTCAAAAAAAGTTTTTGAGATTCAAATGTCATTTTTAGATTCGTTTGAAAATTATGATAGAAGTGTTTCTTATAGTTAAAAGAACTTTTATAGAAAACTAATTTAATATGACTTTTTCTAAAAGTACATTCAAAATAAGAAGTATTTTAAAAAACTAGTTTTTAAACAAAAATTAAGATAACATCTTCAAGAAACACTTCTCCATAATGCAAAAGTGAAAGTTATATCAAACGGACCCTGAGACTTCATCATTAAAGTCTAATGGTCGCCTATAAATTGGAGCAGCTAATTACCTTTTATACTTTCATTCATATTTTATTTTATTTTATTAAAATTAAATATTGAACCAATTTATCCTTCAAAACTAGATATATAAGATCAATTTCAGGAGATTCTCTAAATTCTCGTTTGATCTCAATTATTTTCAAAATATATTTTTTCTCATTTCTTTTCAACCGCACATTCTTGACTAACTTAATATTACACGAGAATTCAAAATTTTCCCTTATTTTTAACTATACATTTTCCTTCAATTTACCATTTCAAAACGCATTCTTCAATCAAAATGAGACTCAAACATGCTCTAAATACAAAATGTTTTTTATTTTATTTTAGGGAGTCAATGTTAGAAAATAAGCTCAAAGAGAATCTTTATTTTTAAAAAGCATATTCTATAATTTAGGATTGTCAAAGAAACCCCGTCAAACCCGATACCCGCGGTAGGTATTCGAGTTGAGGACGGGGAAGGGAATTTCGTCCCGTGGCGGATACGGATAACAAGGTCCCCTCCCCGCCTCGTTTAATTTTTATTTTTTAAAAGAATTTAATACTTTAAATAAAAAATTTTACGAAATTTCATTAGTTTTTTTGTTTTTGTTTTTAGAATTTGATATTTTAAATGGAAAATTTCACGAAATTTCATTAGTTCTAATAGAAAATGGGAACTAAAATTATCTAAAAAATATGACAAACAATAAAAGTTTTGGTTTACAAAATATATTTAAATAATTTAACTTTTAAAAATAAATTAAAAAAGCTTTAAAATATATTATTGTTTCACTTCAATAAATGTGGTGTAATAAAATGAATTATCAAAAACTTAAAAAAAAAGAAGTTAAAAGGGTAGCCCCACCCTGCCTTAAACAGGTAACATGACGAGAAATTAACAGGGGAGGGGGGAGGTTGTCTCGACCCCGACTTGCCTCGTTGCCATCCATACTATAATTTAGAGAGTCTATATATTTAAATATATATATTTTTTAAATACCTTAATATGCTCTTTATATTTAATAATTAATTTTACTACTAAAAAATCATTTATTATTTTTTTCTATCTTTTATTTTCACTAACTTCACTCCAAATTATTATATTATTTTCTTCCATTTAAAATGGAAATCCTTTGAATGTTTATAGATAATGGATTTGGAGAGTCAAGCCCAAATTATTATATTGCGTTCTTACATCAATAAATGTTTCTTGAAAAATGTAAAATGAAGAACCAAAATAGAAAACTTGTTGAAACATATAAAAAACTCGATTCTCTAAATTTAAAAATGTTCTTCTCTACGATATATAAGATACATTTTCTAAATAAAGAGTTTCATGCATATGCTTTAACATGAAACTTGTCCACTAAAGATTTATGTGCTGTGAAAATGAAAGTAAACTAATAGTCAAATCAATGGTTTCCATCTATTTGGACTTCAAGTGCCAATTTTTAATAAGCTTGGTACCCACAGTAAGACAAATGAAAGTTTTGAGCAAAATTTGCAACTAAATGAAATATTTGATACTGTGACTGCAATTTTTGCTAAAATAAAATAAAATAAAATAAAATAATTTTTCTCCACCGCACAGCGCCCCGTCATGTTTTTTTTCTTGACTTAATGATTTATTATAATTGACTATTGCCTGACGTCCGGACTCCCACTTCTCTCTACATCATTGGCGGATTCCAGCTCCCAATTTAACCCATTTTGATATCCCACTCAAATCCGCGACTTGTCCCCAACTGTGACTTGACCAATTCAAGCATTAGGTCGTGTTTGGAATGTTTCTACTTTCTTTTAAGACGAGTATTTTATCCCCTTCGGACAAAGATTTGGACCCAAGTAAATGAGCCTTTTTTAATAAATCATTAATTATACTCTCATTTTCATTAAAATTTGGATATTGCTATTTTTAAATGAAATTTTATTATGTCAAAATTGCAAGCTAACCGTCAATATCAACTGAATTCACATTAAGTGCAAATTTGCTTGTCGAACGAGTCGTGGAATATTGAATTATGGATAACAGAAGAAAATATATTGAAATTGGTAGAAGCGTTTATTGAATATTAGTATTTAGTGATTAGGAGTGGAAAGTTAGCTACAACTTGTTTGCTTTAACCAATTGTTAAGGCATGTTTGGAAAGTATTTATTAATAATTTAAATTATAAATATATAAAAATGAATAATAAATAAATAGAGAGTAATTGTGAATTCTCTTAATATGTGGATAAAAAATAATTCGAGTATTTAAAAAGAATTTATAAATATGACCCAAACATAGCTTGAACTACCTCGCTTAATTCGATGCAGAAGTCTTTGTTTATTTTAGATTTTTTGAAATTAATTTCAATTTTTTTCTCATACATTTTCTCAATAAAAAGAATTTAAACATGGATTCATAACTTTTCCTACTTCTTAATCTTGATTTTGTAAAAAAATTAATTTTCACAAAATGACTTTAAAAAAAAATGGTTAATAAAATTGCTTTATTTAATGAAAATTAATAAGCAGCTAGATGAAGAAAGAATGGCATCCAAACGCGCTCTAGATCCTATCCGCCAAACCCACTTCCTAATATCTCCGATTTTTACTGACATTTACATTTCATTTCGCGTAAGTTTCAACACCATTTCCATTTCCATTTCCATTTTCATTTGCATTTCATATGCATTTCAATTCAATTTTCGAACCGTTCCTCTCTCTCTCTCTCTAGTACACACCACACTCTCTCTCTCTCTCTCTCTCTCTCTCTTCAGCACAAAACAAGCGCCTTCTTTCGCTTTCTCTCGATCTTTCTTCTCCCTCCTATACATACATACATACATACACATGGTACCATCTCCGTATGGGTAGTTGAACTTTTTCTTCTCTCTTTTTGGTTAATTGTTATCTGTATGATGAAGTTGTCTCCAGTGGGAACCCCATTTGCTACAAACTTTGATTTTTATTTTCTTCTTCAAATTCAAACAGAAGATCGATAAATAAGTGACGGACCCATTTGCAGATCTTGTCAAAATTTTACATTTTTCGGATAGTCGGTAAGTTTTATTTAGTGGTCAGCTTTTCCTACTTCGGTTGGGTTTACTTTAATTTTTGGTCTGAAATTTCTTATTATGTGAGTTGAAGAAATGATTATTTTACTGTATAAATTCGAATTATCCATTAATCTATGAACTGAAATATGCTTGGTTAGACTTGTAACGGTACAAGTATATAACGGTTTCATCTTGATTTTGTAGATCCATGCTTCTTTTTATGATTTTTGATAAATATAAATATAGCGCACACAAATGTTTCTTAGTGTTTATTTTTGTGCATATGTATATTTGATTTTAAGGTTTTAAAATTTTTGTCTTTATGAGCTGTATCCAAGTCTTTGGAGAAGTTGGGGTTATCATATTCTAATGAAAAATATTTGTAACCTTGTATATTGGTTTGATTTTACCGGTTGAACGAGTTGTTTGAATTCTGTTTTGATCTTATATTGAGTCAAGGTTTTGTAGCGTATCCTGGATTACATGGTGTGTTTTGCTTTCGATGTGCTGTAAAGTGCCTCTTCGCGAAGAAGAATCCTTTGAAATATTAATATTTAATATTTACTTATAAATCTCAATTATGTGGTGTTTTTGAAGGGATTTTAACATTTTCAGAGGTCCATGTTTGAGATCTTTAATCATGAGAAGGCATGGTCTTGAAAAATTCTCTTTTGTTTCTTGTTGTCTGTTAGATATGGAGTGCTCTCGATCAAAACAACACATCGATCTAAACAACGGTGTTCTTGATTGACTGCTGCTGATTTAAGTATGTGCAGTGGCCCAAAGCAATCAAATACAAGTTCGACCACTACGCAATCCACCATGGCTTCCAAATCAAATAACATGGACACAAATAAATTGACTGTAGAGACCGGAGATTCTTTTTCTAGTCTACTTGAATTTGCTGCCAACAATGATGTCGTGGAATTCAAGAGATCCATTGAGCTTAATTTGTCTGCGGTTGACGAGGTTGGTATTTGGTACCTTCGCAAGAAGGGTTCAAAGCAGATAACGCCTGAGGAAAGAACTCCCTTGATGGTTGCTGCTACCTATGGTAGTGTTGATGTATTGAAACTGATGGTTGCTCTGCCGGAGGTTGATTTGAATAGAATATGTGGCAAAGACAAGTGTACTGCCCTCCATTGTGCTGCCTCTGGTGGCTCTATTCGCGTCTTTGACACCGTCAAGCTGCTATTATCGGCTGGTGCTGACCCAAATATTGAAGATGCCAACGGCCAGCGCCCAGTTGATGTGATTGTTGTTCCTCCAAAACTTCTGGGTGTTAGAGCTGCTCTCGAAGAATTGCTTGTGTACAATGCTTCTGATGGATCATTAGGCGAGTACAATTTAAGGGTGTCTGTATCCGACTCCAATGCTTCTTCGTCGGTTCTATCTTCTTCAGAAAGTGGGTCGCCAGGTTCACCTTTGGATTCAGCATCTTCTCCTATGGCTTCTAAGTTGAGTGACGGGCCTGCTAAATTTACATCGGAGAAAAAGCAATACCCGGTGGATCCATCTCTTCCAGATATCAAGAATAGTATTTTCTCAACCGATGAGTTTCGGATGTTTTCATTCAAGGTCAGGCCTTGTTCAAGGGCCTACTCTCATGATTGGACTGAGTGTCCATTTGTTCACCCTGGAGAGAATGCTCGCAGAAGAGACCCACGGAAGTATCATTACAGCTGTGTACCTTGTCCTGATTTTCGTAAGGGTGCCTGTAGGCGAGGGGATATGTGCGAGTATGCTCATGGTGTGTTTGAGTGCTGGCTACACCCAGCTCAGTATCGGACAAGACTGTGCAAGGATGGCACTAGCTGTGCCAGACAAGTATGTTTCTTTGCACACACCCCGGAGGAGCTTCGACCCCTCTATGTTTCAACTGGATCTGGCGTTCCTTCACCAAGGTCAGCTGCCTCTGCAGCTAGTGTCATGGACATGGCTGCAGCATTGAGCCTCTTGCCTGGGTCACCTTCTTCACACAGTGTCATGTCTCCTGCATACTACCAGCCCATGTCCCCGACTGCAAATGGGATGTCGCGTTCATCTGCAGCATGGCCTCAACCGAACGTCCCAACCCTTCATCTCCCTGCTAGCAACTTCCAATCCAGTCGTCTCAGATCTTCCCTTAGTGCTCGAGACATTCTACCTGAGGATTTGAACATGTTGCAGGATTTTAATGCTCAGCAACTTGTAATGAATGACTTGGCTTGTTTTTCACACCCACATCCTAATTCTGCTACTTTGAATCGTTCTGGTCGGTCCAAGACACTAACTCCATCCAATCTTGAAGAGCTTTTTTCTGCGGAGATGACCTCGTCACCTAGATATTCTGATCAGGCAGCGTCTTCTGGTGTTTTTTCTCCTGCCCACAAATCTGCTGTTCTCAATCAGTTTCAGCAGCAACAGCAGAACATGCTTTCACCGATCAATACTAACATATTTTCCCCTAGAAATGTTGAACACTCTTTGTTGCATGCTTCCTGCGGTGTCTCATCTCCAAGGATGTCTTCACCAAGAAGTGTGGAACTCTCATCCCCAATGAGTGCCTGTTATTCAACCCTTGCACAACGCGAGAAGCAGCAGCAACAGCTGCGTAGCCTCAGTTCTCGGGATCTTGGATCCAACCGCTCCTCAATTGTTGGATCTCCCGTGAATTCGTGGACCACCACCAAGTGGGGAGCCCCCAACGGTAAAGTTGATTGGTCTGTTAATGGAGCCAATCTTGCTCATGTAAAGCAATCAACCTCCGTTGAACCTGATAATGAGGATGAGGAGCCCGATCTGTCGTGGGTACAATCTCTTGTCAAAGAATCACCACCTGAGATGATGGACAAGTATGCAGCTCCCATTTCTGGTGCTGAGCCATCCGGTGAGGGTTCAAAATCGAGTTCTCAAATTGATTCTTCTATTGATCAGTCAGTTTTAGGAGCTTGGCTCGAGCAGATGCAACTTGATCAGCTCGCAGTCTAGTAATTGAAACGTGAATTCATTTCAACTAAAGACAAAACAAGACTTCTAGTAAGTATATATTCTTTTGGGCGCATATTTTTGCTGGCGGGATTCCATATTCGAGGCAATGCTGGAGTTTGGAATGGTTCCATGGTTTCAACTTAAAGCTAATATTTGTTTGGAATGGTTCCATGGAGTTTGGAATGGTTTCAACTTAAAGCTAATATTTGTTTTTTGATAATCATATTCGACTTTAATCATTTGTTGATTAATACATTTGTTGCGCTGTACTAAAAAAATTCGAGTTATTGGCAATGTTCTAATTGTATTTCATATATTTAAGATTGATTTTGTTAATATTCTCTCTTCTTAATGTTCCATTTTGTGAATAACTATAATGTTTGTTCCATCATTGAATTTGGGTGGGACTGTTACACTGTAACTTAGACCTTGGTAAAATCGACTGAGGCCTTCCACTTCTCACTTAAGTGGCTCGAGGTGATATAGAATGTCATAAAAGGTTTAGCCTATCAGTTCATTTTTAAAATGAAATGGTTAATGTTCGATCTTACGAATATGAGAAGGAAGATAGAAGGGATGTTACTAGGTCTAAGTTGCAATGTTACCTACTTGCTCGATTTTAGTAATGGAACTCGAAAATGAAAAGTAGGTAAGAGTTCTTTGCTTCGAGTGAAAAGGATTTTGTTAAATGTAATAAATGACATTTTACCATTTGTTAATTTAAAATACAATTCATTTTTTCAATCAATATTTTTCATCCACGTCATATTACGTGCAAGTAGCAAAATCCTAGCGAAAAAGTTGTCCGAAGATCTTTTCCTAATCCTAACGTCGTAAATAAATTATTAGTGGGTGTACTGCGGTTTCTCGATGTCCTATATTTGGGACAAAATCTAAGGAACAATAAAGTTTGTGGGTTCCATATTGTGAAAATTAGATGTGATGGGATGGTGACCTGGACGGTGGGTGGGGGGATGTATATCTTGTTTGACGTGAACCACTCATGTCGCGTATGAGTGGGTAGCGCTTTTATTGTATTATGGTACTCGACATAGTTGTTGACGGAGACCTTGGTTTTCATAGTGATTTGTGGGGTCGGTAAATGCGACTTTATTGTGGTCTGCACCGAAAATGAATTAGGATTCAAAGAAAAATCAACGTCAACGGATGTGGTGGCGTTGTCCCTGGAAGAAACGACGAGTTCAAGAGTTTGGTGTGGATAAAACCTATGAAAAATTAAAGAAAAAATATCTTTGTTTGGCCCCATAGAAAAAAAATTTTTTATTTTGGAATAATATTTTTTTTGAGAATGTGTGGTTTAAAAAAAATTAAAAGATTTGAATTTATGTGTGATATTATTTTATTGGAGAATGTGTTGTTGATAAGAAGAGAGAAAAAAATGAATTATAATTTTAAGAATAAAGTTTCTTGTACATTAATTGGTTGACATAGAGTTTGACACTCCATGTATTTTCAAATGCAAATGAGCGGGAAAGTGTATTTTATTTTAAAACTGTCCACTCATGCCACAACACGTGACACAATGTCAAACTTAATGTCAAATGAAGTGTACATGTAGCATGATTGAATGTGTTGAAAACCCAGCATCATGCAAACAAGAGTGTAAACAAAGTTGTACATGTATCATCTCCCTATAATGGTACTTTAGATTCTTTTAATAGAATTATTTTTTTAAAAAAAGAATTTCATATGAATGCTCGCCAAATATTGTTTGTCAACATTTCCTGTCAGAATTCTTTGTTTGATATAATGTCACGTGACATTTTATTATTAGACTATTTTAAATACAGTAAGTTTTTGTATCAAATCATCTGCTACTACCTCGGATTATGTCACTGCATATGTTACAATTCTTCTAGCAAAGTTACAAAATCCTATTTTATACAATTATGATATATGTACATCATCATTTACATAATTTTTTACACTTTATCACGTGACAACACACTATTGGATGATTTAATTTTTTGATATTTTTTTCACCCAACGAACACTTGCAACATCAATAATAATTTTTTTGGGATAATCCTCTACATTATTAAAAGAGGGAAGTTGCTGCCACTGTTCCTAAGCCATTTGGCCACTTGAACTGAGCCGTTTTCGCCTAGCTGGTACG